GCTTGGATCCCGACACCCGCGACTTAGCGAGGGGCCACTGTATTATATTTTATAATGACACGGTACCTTACTTAGCACCTCATGCATTGCGTCACTGACTATGTATTCAACCTAGACATGCACCCAATACCTATCTTTCATAATATTACACCGTTTATATCGTGCTGAAATCGTTCCTCAATTTTTATTTTCAATAAGAATAAAAAGTAATTTCGCCGTATTTACAATGTCAGAACGAATAGAAAGTAGACCGTCGTTTTAAATTGCCGTAACCAAATAGTGCGTAAGTCCTTGAAATAATAGTTAATAATATTCAGGAAATCGTTCGCGCATATTTAATAGTAATATATCTTTATATACTTATGTCATGTTTTCCGTTCACTCCATTTACTCCCTACTTTCATATATGCCTATTCGTATTTAATTTGAGTTAATTCAATTAAACTAAAATGAACAGAAACCCACTTACATATCTGAAATATAAATGTAATATAGACTACATAGACTACAAAAAAGAACAACAACATAAACATAAACATGATATCATTATATGTATAATAACTTTATAACTGTCACCAGGCGAATATGTCATTAAAAATTGCGCACAACTTAATATTAAAAATGTTTAGAATATTGACGTACTCAAACCGGAATATATTGATGATCTCTTATTTTTGTATACTCAACTCAAAACGATATTATCTTCATATCTAGAGTTTGTCAATTTAAACAGTTGAAAGCATTTCACATCATTCTCTAATTATATTGCTTGTACTTTCAAATGTTCTACAATCAAATTTACACAAATAAACAACAAATAAACTTACAATACATGCTCGGTAAGCTTATTTCATCCGTCTCTTGCGTTCGATAACTTTTCTTCGCATCGCGTACACAAATCATATGGGGTGAGAATACCGCCAAAATTAGCTTGGTGTCATTATATGGAAACTTGTTTGGTTATTATTTAGTCATTATTCGGTTATTTGGTCTTTATTTAAAAATTATTTTGCGCTTATTCCATTATTGTGTTATTACTGCAGCATCGTATTGCTATTGTTTCATTATTTCAACTTTATTTCTTAATTATTTCATTATTGTGTAATTGTTACAATATTATTTTGTCATTGTTTCATAATTTTACAATTGTGTCGTTATTTAGACATTATCTTGACATTCAATTGTTATAAGATTCGGTTATTTTCACGTCCAAATGTCTTGATATTCGGTTCGCTTAACTTGCGATTACCTCAACATTCGGTTCGCTTGACTTGCGATTACCTCAACATTCGATTACCTGACCTACATTAGCTGACCCCGCTATACATGTAGTATTCAATCCATAGTCCCAGGCCGCCTCCGATAAAGCATTGCACAAGATGGCAATGCGGCCTTTGTAAAAATTAGCGGGAATTTCTAAATAATGGTCGTTTCGCCAACATCCATGGAACTAACTGAGGT